TTTTGGTCTGGTTGGATCTGGTGTAAATAGGCCTATCAGTGGCGCTCTCTCTCTTGCTCCTGTGCTCTCGTTGTGCACCACCTTTCCCTTGCGCTCGTCGCCTTGTGCGCTCCCTTGCCTTGGCACCGTGCCTGCTGTTAGCTGCAGTTAGTCTTTTGTGTTTGACCTGGTGGGACCGGCTGTCCTGTTTTCGCCTTTGGTTTGATAAGTTTAGTTTGGGGACATCTTTTTTCCTTTAGGTTAGAGATGTCAGTACTGGCTTCTGCGGCCCTGTATGAGATTGGTCCAGCGCCGCATCATTTTGTTCTGTTTGGCCGCTCACCAGGTCCACCTGTCAGTTGTTACTTTCGTTTTTGGGCACAGGAGCGGTTTTAGCGTGGTTTTAAACTAAATAAAAATTAACTTAATAATAAAAACAACTTTTACTTTTGTACCCTTTCGCCCCCTGTGTCCGCTTTAATATGTTTGATCTACACGGGTCATATCACCACCCCCACCACATTGTTTCATCCATGTATACAGCTGTTTATTTATTTATTTATTTTTATTAAGGACATCACAAGTCGCATTAGACAAGCCAGATGCATTGCTTTGAGTGTTTTAGCACAAGTGCTAGTTTTCAACACCTGTCCATATAAAAATATAAACTACACGCATAAAAACAGAGAATACAAGACACATAAATTACATACAGATAAAATATATACAGTACATTTTCAGTGGATGCAGTTTTGATTGGAAACATACAATAACTTTAATTTCCTTTTAAATTTGTTGTAGTTGGTTTAAAATTTTAAACGAGCTGTTAAACAGTTCCACAGACTGGCCCCTTTAAAAAAAGAATGAGGACTGACCAAGAGCCGTCCTGTACCTAGGAACAACACAATTACCACTAGTAGCACCTCTTGTGTTCGCTTTGTGTGAACAGTTTATGGTCCTGGCAAATTCTGAGTGTAATGATGTATCAAGACACTTCAAAAAATAATTTAAGATTATTAAAATTGATACAATTTTCAAAGTTAAAAAGTTTATGTTTCTTTGTAATTTCACAGTGGTGCCAGTGTTTGGGCTTTTTGTCAAGGATCTTAAGGGTCAGTTTGTAAAATGAACAAAGCAGTTTCAATGTAGTTGAGGAGCCTGGGACCATGAGGTGATACAATAAGATAGATGAGAGAAGATCAATGTGTTCATGAATAGTTTAGAAGTGTGGAGCGATAGATCTTTACGTATGAAACGAAAGCAACTGAGACTAATCTTAATCTTCTTCGCCAAGTATTTTGTGTGACCGGTAAATTTTAAATTTTCATCTAGAATGAGGCCAAGGTATTTAACTTCACTGACTGCTTGAATTTTCTCATTGTGCACAGTCACTTCAAAGTCACAGTTTTTTGTTTGTGTACGCACTGAAAAACAAAGAGAAACATTTTTTTTTCACATTCAAAGTCAGGTGTGACACACTAAGCCATTTTGAGACCAGTTGTAAGGCATGACTCAGGTGTGCACCAGCCTGAGCTGGTGTTTTTGAAGATACATACAATACAGTGTCATCAGCATACATTTGAACATTAACAGTAGGACAGCATTGAGGGAGGTCATTAATATATATGGAAAAAAGCAAGGGTTTAAACAGAAACATAAAGCTCTTAAAGGTTATAGAAAAAATAAAAAATAAAAAAAAGGAGAGCTAAAATTAGATGGAAACTAAGTAAAATAATAATAATTTAATTTAAAATAATAAGAATAATTTAATTTAATTTAAAACAAGTAAAAGTTTCAATTACAAGCTGAATTGAAAAGATACATTTTGAGTTTACTTTTACAAATATGAACACTTGCAGCGGACCTCCCATCCTCAGGTCGACTTTTCCACAAACGGGGGCCGTAAAAACTTGAGTAGTAAATACAAGTTGAATAGTAAATACAACCTTTATTTGTTAATGTCATACTGTGGAACATTCCTGGCAAAACAATAACATCACCATGGAGACAAGTAAATCGCAGACTCTCAATGAGAAAAGTTTCACAATGCATTTTGAAGTACATTTTACAGTGGATACTTTTTTTATTTTTACTTCACTACATTTAAGAGCATGTATTTGTACTTTCTCCACTACATTCTAGATCTGGACTGAGAAATAAAACGGACTTTTCTTTATGGTGCCATATGTTTGAGGAAGTAACATGTATTATAACGTGACTAAAACCTTCTAAAAGTCCATTTTGTGTAATACAGGCCTTTTTAAATACAGTTCATCACACGTGTCTGTGCTAATATGTGATCCTGCTGTGGTATTCTCTGCCTTCATTGCTCTCTCAAACAATCACGCACACACGCTCGTGACTAATGCAGATCAGACAGCAGTACCGGAGGGGCCCGAGCGCCAGGGGCCTCACCAGAAGCCTGCCCTCTCCCAGCACTGGCACTGGATAATTAAAGGTCATCAGCTGCTGGGGGCCCGACCGCATTAACACTACACTGAGACAGAGCGGAGGATCATCTGTGGAAGAACGGGCCATTTGTTTTGCTTGTCAAAATATGTTAAGCCAAACCTAGAAACTTTATTATGCAGAATTTTAGACTTGTAAATAAGGCTAAAAATAGTAGCTTTTAATGTCAAGCTGTAGCTTTGATTTTAGATTGATTTTACTGACCGAAATTTGAGCTCTAAACTGTCACAATAACACATTTTGAAGTTCGATTATATTGCTGAAGAAATTACAGACAATTGAAACTAATTTATGACACTGACACTAAACCAAAGGCAGATTAAAACCACAGAAACTATTCTAAATCTGCAATATAGTTACAAAAACATGAACTCCAATAAATAAACAGCAGAATGAAAGACTTTAGTACTTTGTTATAACTCATTACAGATGCAAACAGTCTGAAAGAGTCCCCGTAAGTGACCCTCTGGTGCGTGGGCGATGTGTAGCTCACTACACCACTGTTGTCTCAGATTGTTTTAATATTTAGTAGTGCTGCCAATTTGGTAAAAAAAAAAAAAAAAAAATAATATATATATATATATATATATATATATATATATATATAATTGAGTATTGTGTGTTGATTTTCTTGTCACTATGTAAACGTAACATGATGGTTTTCAAAAATGTTTGCATATTTCTTAAGATTTTTGAAGTATACATCAAAACGCATTGCTTAAAAATTCAACTGACTCTAATTTTAGGTAGACATCATATTTCCTAATTAATCTGTGTGGTCGTATGTTTTACGGATAAATTATTCATATCAAACCCAATGTAATGGCCCTGTCACACCTTGATGATTTAGGTAACGTTTACACTGAAACAAATCACCTGTAGCACCATATCAGAAATGATTTACGTCCAGGCACGTTTCCACACAGCTTTGAGCATATTTGTTTACGTTTTACAGAAACGAAACTTAAAACCGCATGGCTAATTTGCATAAACCGAGTGCTGATGCGGTTCAGCTTCTGTTGGACTAAAGGACATGATTCAGTTGATTATATGTGTTCTTTCTGTGACAGAGGGGTGTTTTGCTGATGGTGAGACAGTTCTGTGTTTCTATCGCATTGGAGATGGTTCATGTTAAACTTAAACTAAACAGAGATTATAAGTCTGCAGGTCATACTCATAGACCATATAGATGAATGGATATATATTCTAGCCTCTTAGCGTTTTGGTGGTGAATTACTTCGCGGCGCATAGACTTACGTCAGCATATCATCGTTTTCAGGCGTCCACACAGTGCCAGATCAGATCCGTACTCAGATGAATTCGTGGGAGCTGGCGGCACCAGATCGTTCCGTCTCTGGAGCCGTTTTCCATCAGATTAGTGTGAACGAACACTGCATCCAAAACGAAAACTGACTCGAATACATACTGGTGTAGATGGGGCCTTAGTCAGCGTATGCCGATGTACCAGAATTTCCCTAAAACACTGGCATACACTGAACTATCAATGTTTTTTTTTTTCAATTTTGGTCATATACATAGCATATTCATAACGAATTGAATGTTTAGATAACTTATATATAACATATACCAACTAATGCTTAGCGTGTTGCAGGCATCCACAACTTATGCCCAACAACAGTCTAAGTTATGCATAGCGCACAGCAGTGTATCGCAGAAGCTCATGTGTCGTCGCCTATAAAAAGGCTGCTGCTCGACGATTCATAAGTGCATTCATAACTTCATAACTCCCGATCCATGGTTTCACCCAGTTCCTTCTCCGCCGTTGATCTCTTCATCTCCTGACTCTATTGTCACGCAACTGGTACAGTGGCAAATCAGTGAGATCATGCTGATGCTGGAGGACAGCTAGTATGTATTCTCATCTTAGCCTTGCCGAATCCTCCATCTCTCGGATGATATGTGTAGCTTGTGATACCACGGGGTCTGCTCACCATGAAGTCTGGAGGCGTACTGACGGTTTCCCCATTTCTATATGCCAATTTCCCTACACGCTGCCAATATTTCATTATACAGTAGCTGTAAGTTAGAAACACATTCAGTAAGTTCTGTGTTCATCTGGAACATGTCAAATACGTCTGCATATGTCAATATGTGTTGGAGGTAAGATCAATATATGTTACACATCGATTCATAGCACGTTACTCATAAGTTATGGGGACTCTGAACATTATCTCAACGTATTTAGACTTACGAGTAACTTACAATTAACGTGTGAACATGTGTGAATCGCAGAACTTACCTTCAACTTAAGGCTCACGTATGCAGGACGTATAAGCATGCACTGACATACATCGAGAAATTTTCAGAATTCTCAAAATTTTTCAACGACCTTGCCGTATGTCTGCGTATGCCAGTGTGCTTCAGAGTGCTCATAACTTATACAAAACATACCTTTAACTTCTCTGAAGTACGCCAGTGTATTTGCCACATTTTTTATAAGCTGGATAAATCTTCAAGGTGTGACAGCCCCTTAAGCATGTGAAAGTTGTTTCCTTTTAAGACTGAATTATTTTTCTTCTCTTTCTCTCCAGTGAACATGACCTGGGTGAGGATGACATCTACGACTGCGTGCCATGCGAAGACGACGGAGATGACATCTACGAGGACATCATCAAGGTGGAAGTACGACAACCCATGGTCAGTATTCAAAAGGTCCCTCACTGTTTTTGTCCAAATACACATACACACACTGGCTTTTTCCAAATGACTTTTATAGCTTCCTTCAACTTTTCAATTCTTCGTTTGTTTATGTCTTGAGGTAGTCATAACTTTCCACTACATTAACGCGAGACACGACAGGCAAATGCAGGCATTTTTTCAATGTTTTGTTTTTTGGTCAGTTTGGTCTAACAGACTTTCATGTGGAAACACCAAAACTGTCCACTGAAACATGTTTTTATATTTAATTCAATCAACTTGCCTCCTTGTATTGTGGTATTCTCATCCAAATATAGTATCACTACTTAAAATTTGTCAAAAAGATGAATTTTTGGCTATAATTTATTTATTTTTGTTTATCTGCAGACATATTTCATTTTTAGATCAGTTCAAGATGGGCTGGGGCAACGATTATGACACCAAAATTCTTTACAGTGAAGTAGAAGTAATTTTCTAAATTAGAATATAGAAAATCTTGTTGTACCTGCAGCTCTGCAAACATGCTTTAAAATTAATGAGATTTTTGTATCAGAATTCAGTCTGATGAACACTCCTGGAGTTGTTTACAATATACACTCTGAAGAGAATCTTACTTTATAAACATACATCACACATCTACCGTATTTTTCGGACTATATGTCACACTTTTTGTGTGAAATTTATTTTATAAAATCAGAGATAAGGAACCGACATTTCATGTTGAAAGTCAAGTTCTAGGAATAACAACAGAACAGAACAACAGACTGTTAACGTCACATATGAACAGTTCTTCAGATAATTATAACATAAACAACAGAACAGAACAACAACCAAACTCTCCATCTCACTCCAAATCACTAAATCCATTGACTTCTTCATCCTCTGTGTCACTTCTGAGCAACTCCACGACCTCCACATAGGTAAACAGAGCGCCGCTTCGTCTTCTGTGTAGCTGTCATCAGACTGAGCATCAGTTCCAGTTAGAATTATTCCAGCCTTTCTGAATCCTGACAGGATGGTTTCGGTGTCACTGAAGTCCAGGCTTTGTCCATCCATCCAGTGACTTCCAGGAAAGTTGCATGTTCCACCCTCCTGGTGTCACAAGTTTAATACTCACTCCAAATTTTCTTTCTGCTGCTCGATTGCCATTTTCAGTTGCATATTTTGCCACTTGCAGCTTACAATCTGAAAAATATGATTTTCTTTTTGGGGGAATTTGTGTTCAGACTTCTCAATTGTCTTGATAAGTTTGTTTAAATTTTACATTTTCAGTGGCAATCAACTGATATACATACAGGACAGCAGCTCTTTCTGCAGGAGACATGCACAGTGGAGTGAAGTGACAGTGGTACAGGAGTAATAGGAGCAGCAGGTACTGATACACAAGTCTAGAGCCTCTCGCGGCTTCAGTCTGAACATTTTAATGTGTAAGTTGCACCAGAGTAAAAGTCACAGGAAACACCCAAACCATGAAAAAAAAGTGTGACTTATAGTCCGAAAAATACAGTAATCAAAATCTGAAATGGTGAAAGTTTTTTCAATATTGTACTTTATTTTATTTTTGTCTGTACACCACATTGCACAACTGTCTCTATGCTATATTCTATACTGTATCTCTCCTTACTTGCTTGGTGTAACCCTGTCCTCCTCTCCTCCTTCACGCTGCAGATCAGATACATGCAGGTAAGTCCTCCTGTCGTTTCTCACCACTTCATTACCACCAAACCCCCTGCCCCCCCCACAAGTGTAGACAGCCAGTCGGACCCCAGCTGGCGATCGGGTTGACAGGAGAGAGCCAGGTAGTGACGTCTCAGAGCACAGATGGGGCCCGGGCAGGCGCCGTGGCGGGGAGCACCGGTCCGGGTTTAGCTTCAGACATGTGTCGCGTCGTTGCACTCATTTTTGGTTTATTGGCGGTAATTGTCAGCAGTCTGTGTGTGCGGTTTCATGGCACATTTATAAAACAGACTGTGCTTCTTAGTGTAGAAGTATGTGGTGGGTCAGAGCAGTAGTTTTCAATGGTGGGATTCAAATTTTATCTCTTAATAGTTTGTGGATTTGTTTTACCACACATAAATCTGAGAAAATTAAATTAAACTAATCACTAGCAATATTGTGTAATGATTTTATTGTTAAACTTAAAATGTTCAAAATTTCTTGCATATTCTTTAAGAAGCATACATCAAAACGCATTGCTTAACCACTCAACTGACAATAATTTTAAGCAGACATCATATTCCCTAATGAATCTGTGCGGTCATATGTTACAAGTATATTTACATAACCAAATTACATGATCAGTGGGGTCAAGTAAGTAAAGTAAGTTAAGTAAGTAAGTAAAGTAAAGTAAAGTAAGGAAAGTATTTATTTACCTAGCGCTTTTCAGAGACATAAGTCAGAAAGATGCTTTACAGTTCATTATTCATTCACTGTCAATCTGCGCCATCGGTCCCTTCGACCGCCACCATCACTCATGCACACACCACTTTCATACTAAGGAATATCGGTGAAGTGCCTTGCGTAAAGACACAACAACAGTTTTTGCGACGCCTCACTGTTGCCCCTGATTTTCCCAGTGGTCTCCCATCCAAGTACTAACCAGACCCGTCCTTGCTTAGATTCTGAGATCTGACGGGAAGCCAGTATGACCAAGGCCCTTCATTGTCGCTTGCAGATGTAACTGACTACAGGGTTGAGTGATCTGGCTCTGGGATTCAAATTTTATCCCTTGAGGCTACGTTTATACGATGACGGTCTGAACAGAAGATGCAAAAGTGGCGTCACATCTTCACTTTTTATGTTGCGTTTAGACGAGCGTTTTTATGAGAAATCTGCATGCATATGGTGACGCAAAAGTGTGGGATTCCATTGGGTATGCATGCCATCCGACATCTTTGCTTCTGTGTACTGTATGTATGTGATGTAAACATGTACGCGACGTGAGCAGATCTGACCAGAGTTTTGCGTCTTGTGCAGTGTAGACGGAAACGCTACAGCGGAGCGCATTCAACTTTTCCACTTTGGAGGGTGGTTTCAGATTTTTGCATTTTTACTTCCGATAAAATATTTTGTCCTTTTTACCTGCAAGTGTTCTCATGTAAACAGGTCCTAACAATGTGTAGATTTATTTTATCATACATGAATCTGAGGAAATTAAGTTAAATTTTTCTCAAAAATTATAATAAAACAGGTAATACCAAGAAGGATCTATTAATGTACATTTTGAAACATCCAGGAATAAAATATCATAAGTGAGTTAAAATGGAAACAGCCGGACTTACTTAGCTGTTTGAAGCCAACGTTTCGCTACCAACCAGTCAGATTCACCAGGGCTTGTGTAGGTGACTGACTCCCTCTAGACGTTTTAGCAACGTCACCAAAAAACCCCAGAGCATCCCTCGCATGGCTCTTTCTGTCCACTCTCTCTACTCACCACCATCGCGCGTGCACCACATTCGTACTAATCAATGTGGGTGAAGTGTCCTGCCGAAGGACACAACAATAGTTTTTACCACTGGCGTTCGACTATAGTATCTGATATTCCCACGCAGTCTCCCACAGGTGGAACCACATTTTTGTTTTGCAAGTCTCAAGTCTTTGACCTCAACTCCGAGTCAAGTCCCAAGTCAAATACAGGCAAGTCCAAGTCGAGTCTCGAGTCACTGGCCCGTAAGTCCAATTCAAGTCCAAGTCTGCTTTGAGCTTCAAGTCATTTCAAGTCTTTAAACCAAAGTACCAAATATAGCTTAGATTTTTGCCATTTATATCACTTTTAAGATAAAAAAAATCATATTATATTTATTTATGAGTATTTATAAAGTATGTACGAGTTGTAGAAATTAATTTAGTTATTTTTTCCTTATTAAATGTCTTCTTGATCTTGGTGTGAATCATTACAGTCAGAATAGAAAGAATTAAGATTTAAAAATTCTTCTCAAGTCTTCTCAATGACCTTCAAGCCCCAAGTCTTAGTCCATTTCATCAAATCAAGTCTCAAGTCCTAAAAATAGTGACTCAAGTCTGACTCGAGTCCAAATCACGAGTTGCTCATCCCCACCTCTGCAGTTTCCTATCCACAATTCTAATACTACATTCTGAAGCCCGCAGTTGTGCAAATCATACTAAACTTAAGAAATGTAATAATAAAAACACACAAAAAAGGACTTGAGTCACTACCAACTTTCAAGTTTGTTATTCATTTATAACAGCACAAGACCAAACAGAATATAGTTTATAATAATACATTTGATTTATACTGGGTTTTTGTAAACACTCAGAGATGCTGCTCTTTTTTTCTTTTTCTTTTAAAGGTACAGTTTGTTGCAATATTTCTACCATCTACCATCTGTGATCTGTGTCGTCAGCTGACAGCTTTCAAACACTGCGTTAAACCCACTCCCGTAAATCATAACATCAATCTGGATTTTTTGCATCCACGTAACACTGGGAATAAGACTGCTCCATATATTCTCCATATCCTTCCCTCTTGTTCCCTAGAGAACCTCTCCATGACCCCTGTCACATGACATGACATCACCCTGTCAACACCATTACCATCACTTCTATATACAGCCTCTTCAACCACTGTAACCTCTATAGAGAAAACATGGCACTGGCTATACTAAATAAATAAAAAATAAAAATAAAAAGATTGTAAAAATGACTTGAATTTTGAATATTGACATTCATATTTTGAGAACTTCTAATTTTAACATATTTTTCTCTTGATTGTTTGATTCCAGAGCAACAGATCTTGATATGTCTTGATATTTTTGGGCCAATTTTGATTATTTTATCCAAATTATGTAATAAAAAATTCTAAAAAGTCATCCACAGACCTTTAAAATGTCTGTGTAGTCATATTTTGTGCTTTTATCTCTTCAACGAAAATGTTCAAATACTAATGTTTGTGCCTATAGCCCAATGACCAATGCATGAACAAAGAAATATAGGCTTTATATATCTGTCTATCTTTAGTGTACGTGCTTATTTTTTGTGTAATATATCATTTCGTATGTCTTTTTATTTCAGAAAATGGGCATGACGGAGGAGGACAAGAGGAACTGCTGTATGGTGGAGATCCAGGAGACGGAAGCCAAATACTACAAGACCTTAGAGGACATCGAGAAGGTGAGCGGTGAGGGCTGAGGAGCTGGTGTTCAGGTGGGGACGGGCGCAGCGTGGAAATGTCATCTACTGTACATAGACTGAGGCGCAAATGTCACCCAGACGATCGATGGTTATTATGGGATGTCACCTCAGGGGGCTGGGAATCCCGGAGCTTAAAGAGGACACTTCCTCACAAAGGCTAAAGGACAAGCTTACTTAGTGCCAGTTACTGTATAGAGACTTGTTGGCTGATATAGCAGACCGATATTTAGCGTATCGACTATCAGCCATGAATCTCCAGCAGAAGTCGATATGTTGTTTGGCCCAACCAGCTGCCTAAATATGCATGAAGAATATCTGCATAAAGTTTTGATTGATCACTTTAGTCCAAAGAGGGAGCTGCAAACATGTGACTACACTGTACACAGTTTTTGGTAAAAGAAGGTAGTGGATGAGTTTGTTAGCCTGATTCATCAGCAGGTTTCACTTCGTGGAAACCGTTTGACCTTGCAGCATTAGGATTCATTCGCTCGACGGTAGGCAGGTACTTTTTTATTTAACCAATCACTGATATTTGGTTGTGATGTATGTACTGTGCCGGAACGCTCAGTGGTGTCCAAGTAACTGCCGGCACAACAACAAACTAAGCAGAGAGTGAACATGTCTGTCAACTATCATTGTCGTTTCTGTGAGATGAACTTGCGAATTAAAGGTGTAATAAAAAATGTGAAGTTTGTATTTGACAAAGGAAGTCAAAAGGAGGATAGCGTATGCAGTCTGCTATCACAACGCCTCGCTGATTGGCCGGTGCGCGATCTACAACTTCCGGGGTTCTTGCAAACCATCTAGTGTATTCCGATTCCTGATCTAATCGCTGGAGAGAAATGAAATTGAGTGGAGGCACTAGGTGGCACCAGCCTGACTATAAGGTTGTATTAGGAATCTAACAGAAATCTAAATATTGTGTTATCGTATTGTCAAAAGTCTCTCAAGTCTTCTCAAATAATATTGTGGGCCGTCACAATATATCGAATCTCAAGTGTCTCTGATTAAATCCACTGTTTTAGTGCAGCAACAGCTAAAAAAATAGAACTACATAGACCATGATCCTTTGCTCTTTTTCAGTCCAGTCTACATGCTGAAATAACTGTTATGAAACACTAAAATCATTTTGGATGATGAGAGCATACTCACAGTTTTGTATTATTATTATTTTTTGCCTCCACAAAATATCGCAATAAATATCGTACTGTGACATAGATATCGTATTGAGAGGGTTGGATATCATTACATCCCTAGTTTGTACTATATTTAAATCTGATAATTTAATATTAGCCTCACTGAGCTTCATTTGACTGGAGCTGAACACTATGGGTGACGTCACACTCCCTTAGTCCACTTCTTTATACAGTCTATCGATGGGTCCTCAAAATGTCGCCCATAACTCCATGAAGTCATATGACCAAAACCCATGAGCAGGATTATGTCATTTCATTTTTATTTGTGTGAGCAACATCAACACTGAGACTAACCTGGAAATAAACCTGGAACCAAACAAGAACTAAACCTGGACTAAACTAAAGTCCACAACAGAACTACACTGACCTCAAGCTCGGCCCCGTCCATGAGTGAAATTACATTACACTCGTACATTATTAATATTTACAATCATCACAAAACCTCGTCCAAACCTCACCAGTGTTTCCAGTAGCGCTGTAATAGAATCCTGCCCTCTCTCCTCTGCGGTAGGCCTCGTAACTCTCCCCCTCTCGCCCCTCCCTGCTGCTAGCACATCGCTGCAGTTTGGACAGACTTCACTCTCCAGGCGCTACAAATCATGCGCTCGGCTAATTTCATTAAACTAAATGTGCATCCTGTGTGCTGAGCGCTAGCCCAGCACCAGACTCGCGCCGAATAAACACCGCGCGTATGATCAGCGGACCCGTTAGGCTTAATTGAGTTGGGGTTAATAAAGCCGTCATGTATGCGTCGCTCTGGAGTTGATCTATTTGTTATCATTGTGAAGATGGAACGTGACAGGCATGGAACAACTAGCTTACAGCGCACTGAGGTGCCCTCTTCGATGTGCTGTCATTTAGCTTTGGGGTTAATTAGAAGTACAAGTGGAGCAATATATCATCTACAGGATAATGGAATCAGATTTTTGTTAAAGGCGCACTAAGTAACTTCTCTGGCAGACGTATACCAGCTGGTTCTGTCCATGGAGTTGTTATTGTGTTGCCAGGATTCTTCCACAGTACTGTATGTCATGATTTTATATGTTACAGGTCAGATCTGTTGAAAGGCAAGCAATCTCACAGTAAGAATGTGTGTTCTCAAGGTGTTTATTTCACTCGTAACTGAATAAATGCAAGACAAAGGTTAAGGTCAAAGGTCAATATCAAAGGTGAAATACACAATAATAAGTTCTGCCCAAAGTGCTTCAGTGTAATGCCATACAAACAAGCAGGTGGAGGATATCACCTGTACAACAGGCATTCTGTGGAGGGGTAACCATGTAGAACTGAGGTGTCCAAACTATTCATACTTTTTTATATAAAAGGTTTATTTGAGATGTTTCTAATTAAATTGGCTTTAATTATTGTGCATTTTGTTTGTGCTGTTTATCAAACACATGCTGCAAAATTGACTTGTTTGAGCTTTTACTTTCTGTTACTATTAGTGTTGAATATTACTATTGAATTACTACTCCAACAATAGATCATCAGTAGAATAAAACTAACATGTCTCACAACAGTCTAAACCAGACATGTCAAACTCAGGCCTGGGGGCCAAATTTGGCCCACAATGTAATTATATTTGGCCCGCGAGATCATAGCAAAGCTGTATTAGAGCTACCCACTGACTACAGATAGACTATATTTATTTAAAATGTTATTATTTTATATGATGCTTGTTCTGGATTCAATTTTTAAGCAAAACTATTATTAAACATTTATTTTAATAAGAAAAGGTTTAACATTACATATCTCGAAATATGAGAAAACACGCAACATGTTTGTTTGGCCCACGACTTAGTCCCAGTGTTTAATTTTGGCCTCTGAGTTTGATTTTGAAACCCCTGGTCTAAACCCAGCTCACGGTCCCTATTAGTGGGTGAACAGTCCAACGCTTGGTGAATTTTGCTTCACAGTGATAGGAAGAACCCACATCGAAGGATCAAAAAGCGATGTTGCTATGAACGCTTGGCCGCCACAAGCCAGTTATCCCTGTGGTAACTTTTCTGACACCTCCTGCTTAAAATCCAAAAAGTCAGAAGGGTTGTGAGCCCTGCACATTATTCCCTCATCAAAAATATACCCGGAGTTGTATTTTGCTTTATTCACGCTTGTTTGACAAATTCAAATTCAAAAAAGTTTATTATCAATTCTTCATACGAAACATATGAAGAATCAAAATTGTGTTTCTCACTCCCAAACGTATAAATAAATAATAATAAATGGAAAAGTCCAAGTGTTCCTTCTATATCCCATAAAAACTTTTTTTATTTTTTATTTTGTGATGACACAGGTGAAAGTGTAGAGGTCCATAAATCAAAATATGAGCATTTTTACCCTCAAATCGTACACATTAGGAATACATATTTCATTAAAAGTCTGAAACGGTTTGATTGATTGTGATTTTCAAGTGTAATACCTACCTCCCAGACTTGTAGAAATACTATAAAAACATGGTGTCTATTATCAGAAGATAAGACATTATTTTAAGTGCTAAACGATGAAATGCCAAAGGAAAGGTACTCAAGAGCATATTTAAAGCAAACAAACACTACATAATATTTAGTTTTTAATGTTTTCTTGTATTTTCAGCACAAAAATTAAGTAAAACAGGCACTTCTTACCCCCATGAACCAAATTAAACCTCCTAAAATTTGGTTTATGACATAACAACTTCTAGCTATTTTTCAAAGTAAGAGAAAGAACTAAGTGTTAGGTGGGCGGGGCTAATCGTTACTGAGTGGGCGGGGCTAACAGTTCAAACATACAACGCCATTAGCCAATTGACCTAAAGCAGCACAAACCACCGACTGTATCTTTTGTTGTGTTCATCGATCGCCGTGTAGCTGCACTTAAGCCCTCCCATAAAACTTTAATACGCTGCTAAAAGCTCCCACACACATCCGGTCAATTCAATGTGTTACTTGAGAAAATTCTGACTTATTGTTTTTCTCTTTTGTTTCTTCGTCTTCAGAACTACATGATCCCTCTGAAGCAGGTGTTGACGCCGCAGGAAATGGACGCCATCTTCGTGAACCTGGAGGTGAGGAAGAGTTCAGGCACGACAAAAGGTGTACATGTGAAGTGATGGGGTGTCTCTGTCCGAGTGGAAAATGTAACGTGTGGAAGGAGAAATAAAGCAAAAACAATACAGATGGAGAAGTATACAGTAGATAGCATGAGGACGGCGTTCAAAGCGCTTTACATCAAGGAAGCGCTCACCCGTTCACACACACGTTCATACACCAGTGTACACAGGATCCGAACCGCCAACCTTTGGATTAGTGGACTAACGCTGAGCAACTGTCGCCATGTGTTGATGTTGTATGTATGTTGAATATAGATGCTGTTGGGCAAGTTACTTCAAAACTGTAATGTGTTATTTATTACTTGCTACTGTAAGTAATTTGTTATATTACAATATTACTGCATTTAAAATGTAAGACATTACAGGTACTGCAGTACTTTTAAGTTATTCTCACCAAAATAACTGTGGAAGATGCTGAACTTTTACGCCCTATATGGACTGAACCAGGACTAAACCAGGACTAAACTAAAACTGAACCAGGACTGAACCAGGTCTAAACCATGGCTAAACCAGAGCTGAACCAGAACTGAACCCAGGACTGAACCGAGGACTGAACCAGGACTGAACCAGGACTGAACCGAGGACTGAACGAGGACTGAACCGAGGACTGAACCAGGACTGAACCGAGGACTGAACAGAGGACTGAACGGAGGACCGAACCAGGACCAAACCAGGACCAAACCAGGACCAAACCAGCTCTGAACGGTCCTTTCGCCTGTGGTCACCCAACGGCACCTCCAGGCCCCTTCATAACATTTGGAACTATAATGATGGCTTTTCACCACTGCTGATATCGCGGTGATTTTAGCCATTTTTTATGAAGAAATACGAAAACATGAAAAACCCACCACTTCAATCCAGGTTAAAAAAGCACTGTGACGCACGTTACTGACATTTGTAAAATATTACCTTTTTTCCCTGTAATTCCGTAACATTACTGCATTACAGCAAAAAGCAATGCATTACAGTAACTTGTTACTTTCATAACCCGTTACTCCCATAACATCATAAGTCACTGTTTGTACTGACACTGGTTCTCCAGTAAAGCCCCATTTTTAGCCAGAAAATGTATTGAAATAAAAGCATGGATGACCTTTTATGATTCAGGATGTTTTTATTACACAAAATACTGAATCTTTCCACAAACCTGATTCTTATTTGGCCTGGTCTCCATTTAAATGTTGTTCCATTAGCTAAAATATTCCACACTATGGCATAAAACCCGCCTATCTTCATGGAGAATGTTCCGAAGTATGGTCACAACTTAGTATTTTTATGGAAACATGCAAATAATGGGCCACCTCCACAAAGTTACTGTGCAGTGTTACTTTTATAATACAATAGCATTGACAATTAGAAATAACATAGATGGAATGCACAAATATCATTGAATTATTGTTTGAAAGCGCGGGTACAATGCAAAATCAGTTTATGTCACTGCATGTTGGAGTATTTTAGCCATCTTTCCAGGGGCCTTATTCAAATCTTTTTTTGCTTTTATGATAACATGGTGATCTAAATATGTTATGTGTCAGCAGTTAATACCCCACAGAAGTAAAATATCCTCCTCAGGTTATTCATGTTGGTGACTTCTTCTCTTTCCCTCTGCATTACCTTGTCTGTTACCACATCAGCCCATATCGTGCTTTTCATAACTTCACTTTGTTCATTGTACCTCTATTGTGTTCCCTCAGGATGTGATCAAAGCGCACTATGACCTCCTCAGGGCCATTGACTTCACCATGGTGGGCGGAGGCAGCGGACTGGGCAAGATCTTCCTGGACTTCAAGGAGAGGTCAGAACGATTTATTCTTCTGTTTCCTGTATAGGTCCTATATGACACAAAATGGACTCTTGTGAGCTTTAAAACATGTTACAATGTTGTTACCTAGGGTGACCAGAGTTTCACAATCAAAAACTGGGACACCCCTGGTTTGGGATGATTGATAATAATAAGTCCCTTTGTTTGTGTCCATTTTTTACACGCAAATGGCAAATTCGCTTCTGAAAACTAATCTTTCTAAAAACTCCGGCTAGAGTGGAGATTCTGGAAAACTACAGTTTTGTGAGATAAACTGCGATAAATGGAGTTTTAGGAGCTGACGTGCCAAAAGTGCGACCAGTGTTTTACCTTTTGTTATGATGATGAAGCTTTCAGAGCAGAACTCGTGTTTCTTCTGGTGCAAACACTTTTCATGTGTTTGCATTTGCACACACAGCTGAAGTATCATATTCATGACCACAGACCAATGAGGGCTCAGAGGTCAGCAATTTTGCCACTTCTTTAACAGATCTATGGAGAGGCGAGCCCACTCAGTAATGCAGGTTTTTCAAGGTGTTTTTGAGTAATACTTAAAATTGTAATGAAATAAATGCTAGAGGTTTGAATCTAATCCAGGTGCCGCCCAGAGGTTTGGTGTAGTTGACGGCGCTCGATCTCATATTTATGCAGATTGATGTAAATGAAAACTTTTTTGAAAACGGTGCTGTGTGCACAATGTTATTTTGGAAAACTGAGTTAGGGAAATATTTGTTAGCCTAAAACTGTGAAACGAGTGCATAATTAAGGAAAATTGTTCTGTATTTGGCCCATTCATGACCAACATGTGAGTCAGTATAATCACATTTTCTTTATGTTTTGGTCATTTTGAAGTATCCTTTTGTGTATTTTACTTAAATAAATGACATTTTATGCCTCTTTTTATTCTTAGAATCAATTGGTCAAAAATAGGGACACTTGGGACATTTCTTGTATAAAATTGGGACAAATCAATCATTTTGGATAAATCTGCTGGGACAGGGGACACAAGGCTCAAAACTGGGACTGTCCCATGTAAATAAGGACGTCAGGTCACACTATTGTAACCTCCTCAATCACACATGTTTGAGCAACCCTTTATTATTTAGTCTGTCTACATCTCCAAAACTCAAAATGCTCTGTTCCACCTTGTGATGTCATGTAGTAGTAGTTTTCAAGCTAACAACTACCTTTTACCTTTTATCGAGTAAAGATGGGCAATTCCAGGACTGAAATCATCCAAATGACTCTACTGAAGGTGTATGGAGTTTAAAATCACAGTGGAGTGTTTTCTGAGTGAGAGAAGAACTCTGCTTAAATATGCAGGTTTTGTGTGTTAAACATGAATGAAACAAAACACAACTCCAGATCTGTTTGTCATGAGGAAACAACATTATAAAATAGATCATAAAATTGTGTAATATTGGCTCTTTACACACCCCCAGTGCATTGTCCATATATAAGTCCACAGACATGCTTTTACCAGGGTCAGCAGACAGAACATATGGATTTTTCTGTCCAGTATTGAGCGCGGATTGACTGGTGTTCTATAGACCCTGGATTGTGTCGTCATACATCATCGAATTTTCCTTCAGTCTAATGTTAAAGCAATGGAGATTTTAGGATGTTATGCTCAACTAAATTGACTCTTGTGAGCATTTTGCAATGTCAGAATGTCATTATCTCATCAAAACATGCTTCATTCACATGTTTGAGTGGTCCTTTGTTTTCAGTCTGTCTACATCTCCAAAACTCAAAATGCTCAGTTCCATCTTGTGATGTCATGTAGTGGTAGTTTTCAAGTTAATGCCAACCTTTTACCTTTAGTTCACTAAAAGTCAGATTTAAAGCTAAAGTAAATGAACTCTTATCTAGCAAGTTATACAGTTTGCAAGAGGCAATCATAAAATTGTACACATTAAAATGTACATTTAGGATATTTTAAATGTATTTCATTGTATACATTCATTCATTATAAGTAAAAATGATCCAAAGCTTCTCAGCCTTCTCAGTTTTGCATCAAACATCACAAACTGGATCAAATCTTTGGTTCAAATGTGCTTGTTTTCTTATACCAACGCGTATATTTTATAATCTACATAAAGCAAAATATCTTCATGTGGAATCGACATTTTTTTGGTTATGTTTACACTGAAACGAATCACTGTATCACTGTATCAGTGTATCAGTGTATCACTGTATCACAGTACCACAGTACCACAGTACCACAGTACCACAGTACCACAGTACCAAAAACAATTTACGTTCAGACATGTCGTTTCTGTGTCCGCAATCCTATCCACACAGTAATGCGAAACCGCCTGAAATGCTAGTCACATGACTTGGCTGGTGTCACGTTGTCACAACGTCATGTGGGTGCTAAAAACAAGGAAGTGGAGCACCGTGTCTGAAATTGCAGCAGCCGATTTTGAGCCCAAGGAAGATGGCAAGTGTGAAAGTAGTAAGCACTTCTAGCCACGCTGTTTCCCGTTTGTCTATGGTTTGTTTAAACATTTTTTCGCAATAGTGTCACATGACCAATGTCACAAACCCAGCGAATCAGGAAGGCACAAGTCACAGTGACGTGGTCCAATAAGGACGCAACTAGATCTCCTACGTCAGCATGTCAGAGTTTTCAGGCGTCCACACAGTGCTGGATCAGATCTGTACTCAGATGAATTTGTGGGAGACGGAACGCTCTGGTGACGTTTTCCATTGGATTAGTGTGGACGAACACTGCATCCACAACGAAAACGACTCAAATACATACAAGTGTGGATGGAGCCTTAGAATTGTTAAAATTGCTAAAATATACTTTGAAGCTGCGATTTCCCACTGATTTCTTGAGTGTTTGTGAACCAAAAGTGTTCTTTGGTAAATTGTAATCATTATTGTAATACTTGAATTTGTTGAAAAGGATAATTTTAAATAGAACTAAAACATATCGGATGTGCAAAATATTAGAAGAAAGAAAATTATATGAAAATGTAAAATAACAACAACAACAAAAAACCCACATGTATTGCCTGTTTTTTTTTTTTTTTTTTTTTTTTACTGTTTTAACACTACAAGTAATGAAGTATTTATTTGTTTGAGATTCAGGAAGTGCGCATTAGCAGGCTAGTTGTTGTTTACTGTAGTTAAAAGTGCTTACAAACTCAATACATAAGATGCTTTGAATGCAAAAGGTAAGCGAGGAATAACTTTGGGCCACTGTGTATGAAACTATTTCTGTTTTTCACGTTTTGAAGCCAACTAAAAGATACAGCGCCTTTGAAAATCTTTTGTGACCATGCATATGTAGACTCTGCTCATAATTTTGACTCCTGGTGATTAGACCCCTCGCCGGGCTTATATGGGGCCGAGCGGGCTGTGATGGACGTACCCGTGATGGCAGGTTTAGCCCGTGTTTCTATAGAGGACGTGAGTCACCGCACAGCAGCAGGTCTCCGCGGTCACACACTGAAGAAAAGAACATACCTGTGACTTTGACGTCAACGGTTTAAACTTGGAACAGTGTGTGAAAACATGCTATTCCCCTGATGCAAAACAGGATGTAAGAATAGCGGAGGATGTAGATGTAATGTGTGATATCGGGTCAGCAAGTGAATGGGCCCCAGTGTAGGCAAGAAGAAGGCCCTTGTCTATGCACAAACTTATTATATACTTCATTGTGTCGAAGGTGGAGTGATTTGTTGTTGATTTGTTTGAGCAGCTCCAATCAACGCCTTGTTTGCACCACCACTGTACACGCCCACAGCTCTGAACTTACCTCGTTCTCCAATTTATTTTCTTAATTGATGATAGGTGTAGGATTTGGTGTAATCATTTTGGTAGAAATGGAAAAAATCTGTGGCCGTCTAGCAAGATGTGCACCACTCTTTGATGGGATGATGTTCATGGTGACAGTTTTAAATGTCCTGGAATTCAATTCGTAGAGCGTTTGTCCACTGATCCGAAGGTTGGTGGTTTGAATGGATGAGTGGTTCCTTGTTGTAAAGTGCTTTGAATACCTTGAAGGTGGAAAAGCGCTGTATTACAATGGGTGACCATTTACCATATTGCAATTTAAAATATCAACATTCTGACATATTGATCCACAGGCATCAGAAATTATAACTATATAGCAGACACAGGCATAATATGTCTTTTACCCTTCCAGACTTAAGGGAAATTTTAGCACATTTGTCCTTGCCTGGATGTTTTTCTTAATTTTGCTATTAAAACTCCCTAATGAAGTGTTATACCTCCTTTTTTTCACTGCAACCTCTTTCATACAAAACACAAAACAAACATGCATAAACAACTTTTTGGACATAAAAAATGCTTAATTTAGGGCCGTAGCTACAAAAGTGCAAAATATAAAGTCTGTAAGTAAACTTAAAATATCCTTATTCCCTTCAAAACAAACTTTCCTGGTGTCAGTCATGGAAACAGCTGGTGTCAGGTCCAGGACACAGAGCCACATCACTTCCTGCATTTCCATGGAGTTTATTACTTTTTTATTTGTACATTTGGACTGAAATAAATCTTTCAAATAAAACTAGTAAGGGATGCGCAATTACGCAGACCAAGATGTGTAATTTGACATTTATTTGAGAAATAACGGCACTTAGAGCGGCTTTTGCAATTGTTACAAACACAGACGCTCAGAGCATCTACTATTTTGACTCACTACACTCTTTGGCAAAGTTTAGGCCAATCAAAATGGAATGGAGCACATGAATTTGGCAGAAAACAAAGTTCCTATTGGACACTCATTTTCCCTATGTCCTCACACAGCGTATGTGTCACATAGGATATCTCAGCTTTTCAAAGGGGAAAAAGTGAGTTTCTATCTTTTATGGTTGGAAAGTTCTGCGCGGTTATATAAAACATATTCCTATACGATGCCGTCCATCTGGAAGTGTTAAACATTTTGGTAGTTAAAATATTTCCATAAATTTGGACGAATGAGTGAATGAAAAGCGATTCTTGAGTGAAGACCCAACAAACTG